TGTATGTCGAGGTCCACCTCGGCTACGACACATATATCCGTCATAAATAACATTGTAAAATATTTACTAACTTATTGTAAATAAGGAAACTAGAAATAAAAGTGCCGCCGCGGGTTGCGGAACCACCGACCTCACGTTCATCAGCGCTCGATGCTAACCACTAGGCCACCGAGCGACCCTTTTGAAAAATGTTATCGACGGTCCAATTATATACACCATGTACCATTGACCGTCCTATGAACTCGGCACTTGAGCGCGTTCGCTATCAGTAGCGAGATGGCATGACGAGCGCATTCTGCATGTGCGCTCTGAAGGTCACTGTGCCACGCTCCCCCCCCCCTCTCCCACACATCAATGTGCTCACGTGTCTCCATATCGCTTGGTCCTTAGAGTTTACTAATATACACCAGAGGGAACTCTGGCGCTAATATCAACGGGAATTGCAACCCAAGGCACTTCAGCGAGCATGGGAATGATGGGTAGTACACAGATTTGTCAAATTTTTGTACTTCTGGCCTGCTTCTGGCTCCGTATGTGTTCTTTTGGCTTGGACCTGTTTTGTCACAAAACAAAAATCTGCAACAATTTAGCGGTAGTGGTTCACCACCTCATTCTTTAAGGCTTACTATTTCAAACAAGTCAGTACGCTGAAAAGGGCTCATTCTTTCCTTCAAAACGAAACCGAAACACAGCACTAAACGAAGCTACAAGTGCGATTCGCTGCCCGCAAATACGAAGACTAGGCACATATGTTTACTACTCATCATCCCCATGGTCGCTGAACAATTGCAGCACCAGAGTCCCCTTTAGCTATTAAAGTGCATTTGGATTATATCCAGCGTGGTAGCTCGCTCTCGCGTACGCTAATGTCGGGATTAGGGCGCTCTGTACCTCGTGTTCTTAGGGGGCCTACATGACCACTTTTGTTAGGGTGGAGACGTATCAGAAAGTGCCCTAAGAACTCAGCTAAAATCAGTAGGCAATTGGAAACTCTGTCGCCAACTTTCGCCAAGCTTTGCATAATTTTTTGTGCGCCGCCTTTTCGAGGCCAGTCGTTACGATCCCGCTGCCCACTCAGCTACTCGCGATCTGCAAGGTTATTGGTGACTTCCAGTGTATTTTCATAAGCCCTTTTTCAGGCTGAAACCTAATTAAGGCGAAAAGCCTTTGATACATCAGGAGTGAAATGTCGGTGGCGTCCAGCGTCGGCTTCAACGATAAATATTAGATGCATTAAGCGCGCAGTGTAACCATAGGTGACATCGCCCAACGTCGGCGTCAACACGTTATCAACGCCTCCTGTTGCATGCATCAAGCTTGAAGCGTAACTGTCTGTGGTGTCGAGCGTCGGAGTCAACACGTTACATGCGTGAAGCTGAAAATGTAACCGTTCGTGACGTCGTCCAGCGTTGGCTTGAAGCGTTACTGTCTGTGGTGTCGAGCGTCGGAGTCAACACGTTACATGCGTGAAGCTGAATATGTAACCGTTCGTGACGTCGTCCAGCGTTGGCGTCAAAACTAATCCTTAGGTGCATCAAGCGCGAAATGTAACCGTCGGTGGTGTCCAGCATCGGAGTTAACACGTAACATCCAAAGCTCGAAACGTAACAATCGATGGTGTCGAGCGTCTACATCAACACGTTGCATGCATAAAGCGTGAAACGTAACACGAACACTTACGTGCATCAAGCGCGAACTGTAACCATCGGTGGCGTGCAGCATAGTCCGTACGTCTGTTTATCTGTTCATCCGCGCATCTGCCTGTCTTTCCGTCCGTGCATCTGTCTGCCTGTCTGTCCATCCATCATTCCATCAGTCAGTCTATCCATCCTTTCGTCCATCTTTGTGTATGTTCATGCCTTCGTGCGTGTGTCCATCCGGGCTTCCGTCCACGCATTCGTCCATCTATCCGCTTCGCGCGACTCGTCATCATTCATCTCTAGGATAACTGTGAACTTTGATGTATCAAATGCTTCGTGTTGACGCCTACGTTGGAGGACACCAACGTTCACATTTCGCGCTCAACGCATCTACTGCTTCGTGTTGACGCTGACGCTGGACCACACTGACGGCTACATTTCACGCATGATGCATCTGCTGTTTTGTGTGGACGCCGATTCTGGACGCTACCGGTGGACATATTTCACGCCTGACGCATCATCTACTGGTTCGTGTTGACGCCTACGCTCGACGCCACCGATGAACGCATTTAACGCTTGATCCATCGTCTGCTTCGTGTTGACGCCGACACCGGGCCGTATTCTCGAGGATGAAATGGAGCCCGGCGTTCTCGCAGTGTGGGCCACAATAAGCAGGGATAGCGTGGCATTCTCAACTGGCAACATTGTGTTTTGGCGGGTGGAGGAGCATTGGTGGCATGTAGTGGGTCAAAGGTTGGCACCACCCTAAAGCAGGCGGTAATGTAGGCTTACAACTTGTTCTTCTACCCCAAGATTCTTTTAAGGTTACAGTAGTGAAAGAGAGAACAAACGTCTCTTTTCTCACTGCCACGGCCGCGTTTAGGAAAGAAGCATGCGGCCTACACATGAAGAAATAACAAATGGGACCATTCTATGCGCTCGTCTAGGTGTCTACTCGTGCGCGCGTTTCGTACGATTTTTTGTTAAGCGTCGAGCTGTAGAAGTTGTCAGTCCGCGCTTGTCCGGTGTATGTTCCTTTCCTGTGCACTTTATGCTTTATGTGTGCGCTGCAAGTTTCAAGCTTTTTGCCGTTCTTCGCGTGACTTTTTTATGTGTGACTGCAGGAATCATTCCTTCGCCCTTGTGGCGATACCATTCATGATGAATGCTCAACAACTTCTGCGAGGACTTGTTTCACTTTCGCGTTAAACCGATCTCTAAAAGGGGGGATTAACAACTTTTTTTCGTACTCCTCGCTCGCTTTCTAACGTGGTCATGCCAGGAGGACTGGAGAGTCACAAAAATATCATGTGTACGGCGCAGAGAGCACGCGCATGGGGACAGTCTGCAAGTGCGAAGTAGATTGGCGGCTTCAATTATACAGCCTGTTCCGTCTGGTCCTCAAAGAATTTGTCTCTGCGCTTGTTTCTACGTGGTTAGTTAGTTCATGGCATATTTTTCGTCACCACGGCCACACGCCACGGGACGGCTTTGTACTATTCTGTTGTGAAGTACCTCGTGCTCTAAATCTGTAACGTTCTCTAGACACACATTAAGTGGGGCCGACCACATTTGGTTCATTGCAGCTTTTTTCATTTCTTCTCCCCTCGCACTGCCACCCGAGTTCGCTAGTAAGGGCGATAGCATCGGCAAAATTGAATATAGTGCACTCAATGAAGCTTCGTATATCATCTGTGGGGTACCCCTCAAGGTGGTAAAAAAGTTAACACAAACGAACAACCATTGTATGTAGCTCAAAGAATCAATTGATCGATTGATACGTGGGGTTTAACGTCCCAAAACAACCGTATGATTATGAGAGACGCCGTAGTGGAGGGCTCCGGAAATTTTGAAAACCTGGGATTCTTTAACGTTTACCTAAATCTGAGCACAAGGGCCTACAACATTTCCGCCTCCATAGAAAATGCAGCCGCCGCAGCCGGGATTCGATCCGGCGACCTGTGGGTCAGCAGTCGAGTACCTTAGCCACTATACCACAGTAGCGGGGCATCCAAAGGAACAAGTAAATAATTGGGATTCCACACAGAATATTCTTCATCGTAGTCGATAAAGATAGTTTCAGTCTTAGGATCGAACCAGGGGCCAACGCCTTTCCGGTGTGGTTGCTCTATCAACCAAGCTGACCACGAAGCTATCTCTTGTCGTAGAACGAAATGCGGACGAGTTGGAACTTGTCCATCGTGGACAGCTAAAAAAATGAAAACACACTAGAGAACCAAATCTTGTCTTGCGAGTTTTCATTTTGTGCGCTACTCACGATAATTTAGACGCGTGAGGACATTGACATATTTTAGCAAATCATATTATTTTAGCTGTCGGCCAGTACGCAGAGAAGCGTTCATGGCGTGAAAAAGCTAACCATAGTTTCACCACGCTTTGCAGCCTGTTACTGTTTAGTGCCAGGTAGTGGCAATACACAGACGGTATACAAACAAACGAAGGTGAGAACATTCATAAAGAGTTTAGTGTAATCCCGAAAGGTAGCGTAAAGGTAAAAAAAGGGAAGTTAATTACAAACTAAGATGGCTTTTTCGACAACGTTTTCGACAAGTACTCTATATTTCAGAAATATGCACAGATGTTCTTGTGTGCTCGTTTCCCAAGCGATTGGGGGCATATTTCTTTTTTTAAGCGGACGGTTAGGTTACACGAAGGTAGAAAAAGTACTCGCGCTTACGGTACAGTGTAACGATTTGCTCTGCTAGCTGAGTGGTAACCATGGCAAAGAGAGAACGTTCTACTAATTTACTATTAGCACACGGTAGTTCGATTCCTTAAAGAGATATAAACTTGCAGCGCTCGGCTGCATCATATATCCAAACGTATAGTTTATTATGTGCATGTTTTTGAGTAATTCGTACACCGAGGGACACTTCGCCCACTAAAAAAAAACTCTATTTTTACTGGATCAACTATTTGTGTTTCAAACGTCACAATAACCTGAAAAAGTATTGTGTGTAACGTCAAATTTAATGCCAGTTACTTAAGGCACATCAGGACATTCGCGTACAGCTTAGTGAATGTTATGCGCTTTATAGACCATTCCCTCTTTTCTAATAAATACTTCTGTATTTCATCTTCATTTTTTGAGTGCAGCCAAATAGCATTGGTCTCATCAAGGATTTAGTTTATAATTAGTGCATTTATTAGGTTAGATACGAGTTTTAAGGTTTTACAACACCACTTACATGTTGATTATCTTTTCCTTTTTCACACATTGACTCCGTTTCTTAAAAGTACACAGTAAAATATTCCGCTCAACAAGCTTATATAAGCGTCTTTTACAGTTTATGGATGAAATTTCTTGTGGGTTTTTTTTCCTTCTCACATTGTCCACAGCAAACCTGACGCCACGAGAGGCCTCTGTCATCTATACCGACTGTGTGACATGCTCCGTGTTGAGACACCGTTATGCTGGAGATGGTAAGTATAACGCTCATATATTATAAATAATCGTGGTTGGGGTTTGATGTCCCAAACCTTCGACATGATAATGAAAGACTCTGCAGTGGAGTACTTCCAAAATTTTAATCTTCTGGGGTTCTTTAACTGCGCACCTCAATCTAAGCGCACAGGCTCAAGCATTCTCACCTCCATCGAAATAGTGGACGCTGTGGCTAGGCACAGGACACAAGAATGATAATTTAAAAACTGGATCTCTGATCTGTTTATTCAAGTAATCTGAGCAGTTGGGCTGCAGTGTAGGTGAATTTTTCGCAGCATTTAATGCAAACGAACAAAAAAAAACTTTTCCCTCTCCTTAGAATGTGCTATTTTTTACTGAAGTACCTATTCGCATCGCTGGGGCTAGGCTATGCTTTCCGCTACCTTCTAAAACATGTCGTTTGTCGGGCAGGCCACAGTACTCTTCCGAATAAGTTCTGCCCGAAAAAACCCGGCTGCTCGCATTATGCGGGGGATGCGATCGCAAGTAAAGCAATCATAATAGCCGCGTGAATTATGTTCCAAAACTGTGACACATCCAAAATAAGCTGTGGCTAAACAATCAGAGTCTTAGTGCCCCGTGATCTGTGGGTATGTTCAAATAGTAAGCTGAAGGACGGCCACACTCATTGTGAAAAATGCTTACACGTTGAGAAGGGCCTGTGGTTGGGGACGTTCAACAACACCTAGTTCAACGACGAGATACCACTCTGCTTCTCGCCTCGCTACCGTGACTAGAGCTCATTATTACAACTATGTTACAAGGCATATGGGCCATCACTGTTGTACTAATTCTTAAAGTTATATCGATTTCAGAGAGTTTTAAGGTACATGCTGATAATCGTACTTGTATAGCTTAATGCACAACTAACCACTTAATTTGGAGAATGAACAGATTTATATAACAGAATAAGAAGAATGAAGAAACATGAAAATCATTAGGGAGGATTCAGTGATTAAAGTGGAAAAAATGAAGAAGTCATATTGGCCTATCACAAAAGTTCCACAAGCCCTTGTCTTAGATTAGGTATGTGGCATAGTTTTGCCTTCGAAAAACTTCATTTCTTTTTGTGAGACGGTGATGGCAATAGTGCCAACGCAGCCTTCACTTATGTGCCTGTAAAACTCGTCGGTAAGTCTTATCTCTGCCTGACCGAAAATACTACGTTAAATCTTTTCGGTCACAAAACATGTCCGTGCGTGTAAATTGTGCGCAGTGAGAAGTTAAATGGCCAGGGTATTTTAACCGCGACACAGTGCAATCAGTCTGTTAAGTATCTGAATTGATTGATTTATTTGTGGGGTTTAACCTCCCAAAACGACCACATGACAATGAGAGACACCGTAGTGTAGGGCTCCAGAAACGCCGACCACCTGGGGTTCTTTAACGTGCACCCAAATCTCAGTACACGAACCTACCACATTTCCGACTCCATCGGAAATGCAGCTGCCACAGCCGGGATTTGATCCCGTGACCTGCAGGTCAGCCGCCAAGTACCTTAGCCACTAGACTACCGTGCCGGGGCTGAAGTATCTCAATAATTCACCACCAGCTATGGCGTGTATTTTCTATTAGAAGGGAGGACAACTTCGTACGCAATGCGCTCTGAGTATTCGACCAAGTTTGCCTTTCCGCCTTAGACTGCAGCCTCTTTTATTTTTTTCGCTTTAACAATTTTGAATACTTTGGCAAAGTCTATTTTTCTTGTTCATAGGTGAAAAACTAGACACACGTCACACTTCGTCATTCCAAGAAACGGCAGCATTCGAAATTGCATCAGAAATAAAATATTTATATAAAGTTGAACACTTTTTCAAGTTCTTACTGGGCCTCGAGAATAGTTGTAATATATTAACAGTGATGGCTCATGATTCATTTATTGATTTCTGCAGTAAAGATTTTGCGATACAACAAATGACTTGTCCTGGTTGGACCTATTCAGTAATTAGATAATCGCAGTATCAAGGCTGGCTGGTACAGTGTGGAAACGAGACTTATTGATAGCTTGGTGCACAGAAATCAAACCTACTGCTGTTTGTGCCAGTTTGGACAGCCTATAATAAAAAACCAAATTCATTAGATCCTGATCTCACCTATTATGGGACTGCCACGTATGATGCGTTTTGGAAATTATTGTTTTGTCGACGAACTGTATATTGTCACCAGTAGAAGATTACAAGGTTATTTTAACTCAACGTTGTGGATGGCCTGGTCACATTTGAAGGTAGTAAGTGTAATAGAATATGGTAATGTTTCGAGCGATGTATACGAGTCAAGATGTAGTGTGCTAGTACTGTTTTCAAAGAGGTCAAATATCGTAATTTTCTGTGAGATAATATGGGTCAGGGCATGGATTTTCCTAACAATACCTAGAGGGAACTCTAGCGCTAGTGTCTATGAGACCTGCAACGCACAGCACTTCAGTGAGCCTTGGGATGGTGGGTAGTACATGGTTTCAGCTAACTTTCGTACTTCTGGCTCCATATGTGTTCGTGTGGCTTCAAGCTGTTTTCCAACGAAACAAAAATCATCAAACTAACAGCGATTGCGCTTCCCCACCTATCAGCATAAAACAAAACCCATCTCCTAAGTTTACTTGTCTATGGTTCAATGGCAACTGATTAGGCCACTTGTGCTCAGCTCATCAATACCTTGAATGTAAGCATTCGACAGACGTCTGTCTGGTTGGGTATGAAACTGGGAGATGATTTAGACTCTAACAAAAAGTTATGAAGAAACCCCACGTTTCGAAACCGACTTGGTTGCTTCCTCAGGGGTGATTGCGGGACTACATAGCAGAGGCGTCTTCAAAGCACTCGCGGGGCGTATTGACCCTCCCCCCCTCTCTCGTTTTGTCGTGGAGCGCAGGCCATGTGTATACACTAGAAGAAAGGTTCCGACAGAGCGGTTGATGCTATGGGCTGTCCTCTGTATGTGCCACGACTCGAGTGACAACCTCCTCCGTTCGGCTCGCTTTCGAAGATGGCTGTCGCTTCGAATATTATCCGGTGATCCAAAGTCTCAGCACGTTTGGCGAGTGCGCTACGCTCTTTGTAGAGCTCCCGCACATCGTTGGCGTGTTGCTTCAGTCGTTCCGGTAGGTTTTTCGTCTCGCCGATATACGAAGAGAGGCACTCGGCGCACGGAATTTTGTAAACGACAACGGGGGTCCTGTCCATTGTTGGCCGGTCTTTCGGACGGGAGAGGAACGTGCCCAGCGTACAGGAACGCACATTGACAGCCCCCCGAAACGCGTACCGGTCTCATAGGTTCAGAGTACCAGCGATAGTTTGGCGCGGATCTTCAAAAAGGAAGGTGTTCGCATCGCGCTTGGCAGCCGCTGAAACGCGTACCGGTCCCATACGCTCAGGCAACCAGCGAGATGTTGGCGCGGACCTTCAAGAAGGAAGGGGTTCGCATGAGCCGCCTCCTCCCGCACCCGAAAGACCGGCCAACAATGGACAGGAGCCCCAATATCGTTTACAAAATTCCGCGTGCCGAGTGCCCCTATTCGTATATCTGCGAGATGAAAAACCTACCGGAATGACTGAAGCAACACGCCAACGATACGCGGAAGCTCAACAAAGAGCGCAGGGCAGTCGCCGAACATGCTGAGACGTTGGATCACTGGATAAATTTCGAAGTGATGGTCATCCTTGAAAGCGAGCCGAAACGGAGAAGGTTATTAACTCGAGTCGTGGCACATACAGAGGACAGCCCATAACATCAACCGCTCTCTCGGGCGCTTCCCTCATTGTATACATATGGACTGTGCTTCATGGCAGAACGAGAGAGGGGGGGATCATCAGCCCCGCGAGTGCTTTGAAGACGCTGCTGCTACGTAGTCCCGCAGTTACCGCTGAGGAAGGAACCAAGTAGCTTTTGAAACGTGGGGCTTTTTCAAAACCTTTGGTTGGAGTCTGAATCATCTCCCAGCGCTTCAATAGGCATCTTCATGCGAGTATTTCTTGCTCCGAGTGGGGCTCTACCAAGCATAAATGCGGACCATTCTCCAAATGTAAACTTTGCATCCTATGCTGGTGTCATTACAATGTTGCTAAACTCGAAGACTAAAAATTGTTACGCAATATAATCGCAAAATCCGCAATATATTTCTGCGTTGCCTTGCGGAGTCTTTTTTAAAATACTTAGACGTCATTTTAAAGTCTTTTTCTTCTCAGTGGATTGATTGATACGTGGGGTTTAACGTCACAAAACCACCATATGATTATGAGAGACGCCGTAGTGGAGGGCTCCGAAAATTTCGACCACCTGGGGTTCTTTAACGTGCACCCAAATCTGAGCACACGGGCCTACAACATTTCCGCCTCCATCGCAAATGCAGCCGCCGCCGCCGGGATTCGAACCCGCAACCTGCGGGTCAGCAGCCAAGTACCTTAACCACTAGACCACCACGGTGGGGCTTGTTCTCAGTGGAACTGCCAGAACACTGGAAGTCAGCTTGGGTTATTAAGTAATAAACAAAATGTGACAGTAAAGTAATAGAAAAGTATACATGAATCTTCATAAAATCATCATAATGTAAGCTGTTCGGTTAACAATTAATAGCTTACAAATTGAACGAATTTATAGAACTCTCTGTATTAATTTATTTATGAACATGAGTTTTACAAAAGATGTCCTGCTACAACACAAGTAGACAATGTTATTCACGCATTTGCAGCTTTACTTGAGAATAACAGCCAGACCTATTTAATATTCTACTACAGTAAAACAATCAAAACACTTGTACACAACATATTTGTTACGAAGATTTAATAAATTGACGTACAAAATTTTTTCTTATGCTGCATCTCAGCTTATCTACTCAACTGCAATCAATACGTTCAGATGAGAGAACAACAATCCGGCTGCCTTTTGGTGGCGTCTGGCATTCTGCAGGACAACGTACAAGGTCCCCTGCTGTTCGAAATATTCACATAAATAGCATTCTGAATGCAATAGCTTCCGCGGTACAAATTCGTTCATTTGTTAACAACTGTGTTTTGTTGCGAGAAGTAACCTGTATTCCGGCAAATGTTACTTTAATAAAATATTCTAGGCAATGTGATGAAATTAAGTGAACACTAGGAAATTCGTTTCATTAAAATAATTCTGTGTATTTCCGCATAACGCCCAAAAAGTCACCTCAGACTGCACTTGTAGCTTAGATTAGGAACCTTACTAAAATAGCCCACTACAAATATTTACATTTGACAAATATTTAGGCGTTCCACTTGTCCTGGAATTTGCGCATAACATATGCTACGCAACTTGTCGAAATTTATACCTTCTCCACCACAAGCTCTTCATTGCTATGCCAACTGTTAAACTCCTCTGCTATTTTTGTTACTTAGGTAAAAACTGAGGTACTCCTCCATATTTTGTAAATCCGCACAAAATAAACCTGATATTTTTAGAAAAAATGAAATTTAAACAACAGGATTTATTTGTGAAAAATTATATGTCAAACAAATGCCTCACTGCTATATTAACAACAAATAGTCTGAAATTACTTTAGGTTGGAGGAAAGAAAGACGAGTTGAGTTCCTTTCACATGTAGGGAACAACATATAGCCATATAGTCATTATTAGACACTGCAACGTACGTGAAAGCCTCGCTCAACAGACCCAGTTGGCACCACTATCATCTTTTTCTCACGCAAATCTTCGCGAGGATTGACATTTTCTGGTGCCATTTTTTTTCAACAAGCATTTGGAGATTAGAATAAATTATGCGAAGCATTTCACCAAGCTTGTGACATGCGCACAATTCCATTCGTGTAATTTTTGTTCTTTATCAATTACTTAGAATTGTGTTGTGAACAAGTTGATCAATCGTTTTTTTTTTCAATGCTCTACCGAAACCTTTCCGGGAAAAATGTCCTTTGAACCTTGCTTCACCCTGTTATTCAGTGGTATCGTTTGCATAATTCTCCCCTTGCTTAGAATTCTCGTCCCCAAGTTTTCCTGAATAAAAATACATGCTAATTTTTGGCGAAGTCAAAATAAAGTAGTAATCCTAAAGTGAGGACAATTTGCTCCTAACTGATCTGTGCCGAAACGTTCTTGGACACAAGGTTTTTCAAGAACAAAAACTTTTGCGGCTGAGCGTTTCTTTTTTATATTTGGTATACTTAGTTTCAACCACTCCAAGCAGCCTCTCGCAAGATAAGAAAATATAAATTGGTTTTACGCATATATGCTCGACAATCAAAAGCTGTGACAGTGTATGCCTTGTGCATTTCAGTTCTGCCTCACGCTAATAATGAGATGAATGTCTCTTGGTAAACCTTAAAAACTCTTTCCAAGGCCTCCAGCACGGAAGAGTGGCATTGGGTCCTCTTCGTGGTATTTTTTATGTGATTAGCGATTCTTAGTCAACTGTTTCTATATTATGAGAGAGAAATTCAGACTAGCCCACGATTCTTGATCTTCTTCGTCAAGAATATATTGTGGAAAATAAGTGCACGATCAGCGAAGACATGCGGGCTCCACTGAAGCATGTGCTATAGATCGGGGCTTCTTATTTTAAAAACGTAACTGCGAGAAGGGTCTCTCTCATAGCTCAAGATGACACAAAAAACTGTGGCGCAAAAAAGAGATACTAGGTATAACTTTACGTGTACGGTTCCCGTTCTTGAAAACAAAGGCTTGCGTTTGCTTTCTCACAAGGAATTTATTATTTCCAGGCTATGGATGCACTTACTGGAGACGGACAGACGCGATGCAAAACAGCGACGACTGCTGCAAGTTTATTTACGATGAAAATTGTGGCACTTCTCCGAAATACGTTATCCGCGATTCATCCTGCTGAACGTAGAGCGAAAGTTTAAGCTGCAGATTTGACAAGATTAACCATGTTGTGCTAATGCTTATGGCCGTTAGTGGTGATTTTGTAACCATCGACGTGCAAACCATCCCTTGAGAGTCTCTACTGCTGGCAAATTAGCGGCCGAAAATGAACTGGCACTAACTATACGAGCGCAAAGATGTCTGAGTTCTTGTAAGTGCGTATTAAAAATTAATAATCATGGGAGAATGCTCCTTAGGTGGTGATGTTAATTTCAGTTTTTTATCTTTGTTAAAAATCCAACCAGACTGCATTGTAGGTAGAATCGTGCAACCATGAACACACTTTCTAGAAGCATTGCACTTCCGAGCATGTGTTTCTATCAAATGCGTTTTTCTACAAGAGCCCATGCTAATACCTATAGTGCTCATAAAACTTGGCCTCTTGTCATTCCCTTCAACATTTAGTGCTATACGTTTCTTGAGGAAAACTATCCAAAAAGCCTACGCAGAATATTAGCCTAAACGCATCTGTGTGATTAGTACTCTGATACTACATGTGTCATTGAATGTCTCTTATTGATTTTGTTTCCTAAGTCTCACTAAACGTTTCCTCCTGAAAGCGCACATCCGTTGATCTCATAGAAGAGCGTGTCGCATGAGTGTCTTTCTCTCTTGTATAGGTGACAGAAGTTAGGTAGGGCCCCACGTATCTTTATTCATTGTGAAAATTGAAGAGGCGCGATCTACTGCACACAGATTATAGATTTTTGGTCGGGAGCACGGAGGTCGGGAGGTATAAGGTTGTGTTAGTGTCTTCCTGCCTGTTCATATATGCCACGCTTATTGTTTTTCTACAAACTTTCAGCTGCTAGACAGCGCCTGTCTCGTGCTCTTTCTTGTTTTTTTGTCAGCTTCTTGCACAAAGTGTCATGAGTACCTGCAATTTTTTAAACATACACTTATAGGCCTCTAACTACAAGATAACACTATTTTTTACACGCAATTTGTACATAGCATGCAGCGAAAGATTTTGAGACTTCCAGCTGCATTAGTGTTTTTTGTATGACTTTGTAAATCTTCCAATTTTGAAGTTTACGAAAAGTTGTTCTTTCCACTGGAGACATGCGATTTTTTTTTGACAATCTGATATTTTCTATCACTAAACTAAGACTCCTTTGCGACCCTGGGGACTTCGATAAATATATCTTTTTAAGCGAAAATAAAGTTCACTCATGGAAATGAACCGACGACATTATGTGAACACACCCAACAGAACTTTAAGTGGTGATTGAAGAGGAACCTGAAAAACCAGATCATTAGCTTAGAGGGGAAGGGGCGATCAATTCCCTTCCTCTGAACATTTTTCATTCGACGTGTGCACATGTATCAGCCTACAGTCATGAACAAACGTACGAAAATAAGTGAGACATAGGTAAATATTCCACCCACAGAAAAGATTCTTAGTTTCTTTATATATGTTGCAACACTAGGCGTACAATAACAAATGAGGATTTCGGACACCAGGACTGCAATAAAAACATACAAAAAGAAGCGTGCATTGCTGTCTATTGTGTGTGTAGAGCGGATGCTTCAGAACTATAGTGCGGTTGATTACGATTCCCCTCCATTTGTTTCACACTACTAGGCACACAATCATTTTTAAACAAACATTCTCTGCGTCTTGCACTTTTCATATTTTCAACCTCACCTAATATAGTGTATCGAATCAGTGGCATGAACATTCACTACTTAACTAGAACCAATCCGACGTTTATAGAAACGAACCGTTCGAACAATTGGTTTGTCGCGACGATGTGAAGCTTGCAGACCAATTTTTTCCAAGCAGAAAATCCTTCGGTTCGAATTGTTACACAAACTAAGTATGGCAAAATGCATTACTAGTAAAGCCAATGACAACTATTTGTTCAATTTATCAGTACTGCGAGGGCCAAATTGTCCGACTAGGAACAAAACACAATTGCAAAAATCAACATACTATTGGCGGTGAATCTATAAGCTCAGAAGCTGGTAGAATTTATTGGCATAAGAATCTGGAATGACATGCCACTCTACAGGGAAAAAAACAAGCAAGTCGTCGCACTTGCGAAAAAATATTATCAAAAGCAAATATCATCAGGACATGTGTACACGTTAGCAAAATACACCGCCTCTATGTATAAGCTTACATACATTTTTCTTGTTCTTTTGCTAACTATGTTTAGTCTGCTATCTTGATGATCGGTGTTGTGGCTCTCATATTTAAGGTGAAACGACAAGTATCAATATATGTATATATATATATATATATATATGTGTGTGTGTGTGTGTGTGTGTGTGTGTGTGTGTTTGTGTGTGTGTGTTTTCTATAAAACTTCTATACCTGGCATATATATATATATATATATATATATATATATATATATATATGTGTGTGTGTGTGTGTGTGTGTGTGTGTTTTCTATAAAACTTCTATACCTGGCATACTTACTTTTCATGTTTTGCTGTTACTAATTCTGTATTTTAAATGTCACTGTCTGGTTTCTGCTTAGAGGACAGAGAAGAAAACGGTGAAATATAACACTATTTGCTTAAATGTCGTGAACTTAAGAAGGAACGTCAAGGTTTATTTGAGAAACTGCAATTGTTAGGCTCTTCATGTGACAGCGTGGCTGATATTGTATTTCCGCGTGGTCACTCGATCTTCAGGAAACAGGTGTCGTGACTTCACTTGAAATTCTTGAATCCTACAAATCTCGCATGTGACTGGTGATAAGTGACAATCATGTTTAGGTATAGTGCAGCGAGCTAGAGTACCGGCACAATACTGCATGTGGAATAGCACAGAGGCCACCGTCTTATACAGGCTTACGTTGCGATATGCACGGTTTTTATTTTAAGAGCCCCTTCGTGCTTAGTTAAAAACCAAAGGAAATTAGCTACAGCTACCAAAGAGGAAACCGGGCGGGGCAATTGCCTACAAATTATGCAAGGCTAGATCCGCCGCCTCCCTAGAACATCCTTAACCTTAACCTTAACCACAGGAGGTCTTGAAGGCGTTGCAGCACCAAAACACTCCACAGAGACCGTAGATCTGCTCCCTTGTAGACGTTGACGCAGGCTGTGCTAAATTCCGGACCTGAGCCATGGGTAGCGAACGCCAGAAACAAACCACGCAAGACCCGAGGCACAATAAACAGAGAGCACTCAACCGACCTCGAGAAATGCCAGTGGGACAGTTCTGGTAACACTTCCTAGATAATTTCAGTTGGTGCGCTCACTCGCGAAAATCAAGAATCAGATAACAAAGCCATAACAAACTCAGATCTACTGCGTGCGAATCAAATCAACAGCCTAACGTTTTGTATCATTTCCCAGAGTGATTCGCAACGTTTCAGGCGCGCAGGTGCTACGGGCGAAACAAAACGAAATGAAGTAGTTACTGAATTACGCCTCTCCTTGCATAAACAAAACTCAAAATCAAACTTTCGCGTATATCATAAAAAACAGAGGAACAAAAAACCTACACTACACTGATGTGAATACCAACAAGCATGCTGCAAATTACAAAAGGTTTATACAGAGGCTTTTATTTTCACCCTACTTCTCTGTAAGTAAAATCAACTACTGCAAAACCCTCTACTCGGGTTTTAGGTTTTTTTTAAATGTGAAAAAAGAACGTGCAGTTCAACAGGTATCTCTGTCTTCAGTTATGTTGAGAATAAAATTGAAGCTTTCAAAATTAACATACTCCTTGCTCATCGCAGATAAGCAAACATTAGAAAGTAAAACAATCAAAACATGGGCACCCGTTTTTTACCGTTACTCTGTCCCAAACATTAAGCGGCACCCTTTTAGACGGGCTTTCGGGGGACGATCATACCGCAGTTTGCTAGACCCCAGATCGCAATGGAGCGACAGAGAGCCAGCCTGTCCGAAACTTCCGAAGCACTAAGTGGTGGTGAACTTTGTTCAGCGTCCCCCAAGCTCGGACAAAGAGGGATACGGACGCTTGAGCGTCCCTGTTTGAGGCCTCCGAGAACAGCGGTGGCTTTTTCGCGAAGGTGGGAGACGGCTTCTGTCGTTAGATTCACCTACGCTCCACCTCGCTTTGCTCTACGTCTAGAAAGCAAGAAGATGATAAAACCAGGCGACCACTTTTGCATCTCAATTTCTTCGCCTTTTTGACACGCTTCATGCCGAATCTCGCTTTCTGCCAGACCCTCAACTTTTTACTTCTAGCCAGCTTTCTTGGTATTTCTAGCCTTCGCTCGAGGTAACTTCGACCCTTCGCGTTCCCTCTACGTTTTTGTCGGTGCCTTCTTTAGGATTGGCATGGAACGCTACCGACTCGGCAATAATACTCGGAAGTACATTGCTCAAAACTCCAGGTGGCTCAACTGGCGTATCCTCGTCGTTCTTTCTAGCTGTCTGCACTTTCAAAAAGATGGTACAATCGACTCTTTCTAAGCCAGCCGGCTCGCCATCAGGTGTCCCTCGTTGATGAGAGTCATCACCTTGCGCTAATATAAGTGCTTAATCATCTCGCGATGTTCTAAGCGCATCATCATTTCGCGCTATGCTAAGCGCCCCTCTATCACATGCTAAGCTAAACTGCCTCATCACTTGGACTTTTACAGTCTACTTGCTTTTCATTAGCGCTTTCTGCTTCTGGCATCTCATGAGTGGACTCAGAGTTCATCAAACGCGTCAGAGCTGCCGCCGATTCGTCACTGAAACAAAGGCTTTTCAAAAGCATGTCTACGTCGTTCTGAGAAGGATAATGCTCGCGCAGGTTTTGGGACACCACTGTTTCCGTTGCGAGCAGTCTTAACGGACCCTCACTCTCAACACGGGCTAACAGAAACATACACTTTCCTTAACAACTACTTGCCGTTGCACGTGCATTCCTCTATGGTCACCTCAATTTTCATGATGAAGGAATGTACAGTGTCAAGTACTGCTGCGGAGTCCCGCGGTACGTTTTTCCTCAACTAATTCCTGAATGTGGGGTTTCAATTGCTCCTGATTGCTGTCGCTGCTGTTCAGTTCATGTGTTCCGGTTGTCAGCATGCATCACACCTGCTAACACCAGTTAATGTAGTCGGGTTTCTGCTTAGAGGACCGGTAGCCAGCCGCAGTCTCGGGGAGATGTCGAAGAGAGGAGGTATATACAGGTAGCGTGCTATTACATGATGAGAGCAGCATCGTGGAAAGTCTCGACGGAAGCATGATGGGAGCTTCTGCGAGCTTGTGAGAGTCTGTCGGGAGCGCCGCAGCGCTCGCAATTTATGTCCTGGTCTTCCCAGGACACCCTGCTGGAAAAAGACAATGGAGGCCAAGACTGTCCAATAAATTTTGCCATGTTCACCTCCGCCTTGAAAGGGGTAGGTGAAACGCCACCTCCTTTTCAACCTACGAAAGGGGGAAGGGGCGCGCCCAGTGTAGCCCATGGTGAGGGAGAAAACACTGCACACCGCGCACGACACAGCACAGCACGAAGACGTTCAGTGTTACGTGGAAGTAAATTTCATAGTCTGTTGCAGTGATGGGTATGTGGCGCCAGACAGACTACAAAGTGTGGCAACAGCGCTATCAAGGCGACACGGAGATCGTGAGAAATGCATGCACAGACGGTTTTCAGACGCTGGGTCCTTTTCGCGGGGCACCTTGACGACAAAGCAAGCCGCCTCGCCAGCCAACAACTGTTCGTAATCCGTCAGCCGGTCAGGCGTATCCAAACGGTTTTACGAGGGCGCCGACGACCTGGGAGAACTACAAGAACAATTTCTATGTTGTCACTACTCTGGATAGTCTCTGCTAGTGCTGACTCTCAAGAAATCAGGGTAGGCTCAGCCACCAAGTCTCATGCGATAAAGCAGCATCAACCAAGGCAGGCCGATTATTACAGGACATACAGCGTTACCAATCAACTTGTTTTCATTTTAGGCCAATATATCTCAATCCATCAGGAATATATTTTCGCAGACTATAATTGATGAATTTTGCCGTCCTTGTGTGATGTACCAATGTTGTGTTTCAGATGTTTACGGTCCACCATTATTGTTATTTTTACAGGATAGTTCTGCCAGTAATCGTTTAAGGTGGAATGGCTGCATCTTCATTCAATCAACATTTGCAAACGTAGAAATACTAATTCGCCTACGTGTTGTGCTGATAGGTAATTTATGTTACGATAAGGAGTCCCGACAATCTGGGTCAACTTGAATCCATTGGCAGGGGTAACTATGGGTCACCAGAAAGTAACAAGTGTGTAGCAGCAGCGAAGAGCTCGCGCCTGCGCTGTCGCATAAGGGAATAAAAGAGGTGCATGGGCAACCTTCTACGCTTCACCACTTCTTCGTGAGCTCAAAATACAGATTAAGAAAAAAAAGGAAAAGCGATGCTGTTCTACCTGTTTAGACAATGGGATAGCACGAAAGTAAAACCTGTCTTCACAAAGGCAGATGAATGGTTTTTTCTGTGTATTGCTTCACCGCCTGGTGAATGAATAAATGCTGA